AGTAGAGCACCACTTTCTTTTTTAATTGCTCTCATTTCAGACAACTCATTTAGTCCCCAGTAAATACACTTCCATCAAAATCTGCTGACTTAAAGACAGCACATATATTCTTGTCAGCCAGTCAGACAGAATAAAATAGGGCTAACCAAATGAAATGGGGTCCAGACTGACAACTTTGCCAGCCAGAGTGAAAGCATCACAGGCAGACGGGAATACAGAACTTGGCAAAAGGAAAAAAATCAGCAGCCAAGTTCTACTGAATAACCAATATGCAGATGACAGGGGAAAGAGCTGGATAGTTTAATAAGTAGCTATGATACACATTTTTAAAGCACATTAAGAATAGCTTCTAAATAAGGGGTAATATTCATCTGCTCTGCTGGTGGTCCTGTTCTGCAGCTGCCTTGTTCAGAAGCCCTGCCAGTCTACTCAAATCACCCTGGGATGCTGTCATGTACTTGATGTGACAAATCAGGACTCACATGATAATAGATGTGAGCCCAGTAAACAGCTACTGGTCTGGCGTAGTAGCCACCATTTTGTATTTATTGGACACTCAGCCCAAAGATAAAAACAAAATGGAAAATAACAGGCTTCTCACCCCAATGCCGTCTCCTACCATCTGCTGGAGCATTTTTAAAGCTGCTTTTACGAGCTCATCCTTTGCTGACCATCTTGATGAAGGTCAGTGGTTTTACTATTTTTTAAACATAATTAATTGTGTCTCAGTTTCCCCAGTGGTATATTCTGAAAAAGAATATAGAAGCTGAAATCCATAGCCTGGCAGCAAGCCAGCCCAGGTCCTTAACCACCAACTCCCCCAAATCCCTCACTCTCCGTTCCTTGTTTCTGCCCCTACACCTCAGCTTTCCTCTCAGTAATTGCCAGTACAGCTGTTTGTAGAGCAATGATGAGGACTGGATATAACTGAATTGATTCAGGTTTAAAATAACCCAAAGATATATCTGGGATATTTGGCAGGGGGTGGGGGTGTTAAGGGTTATTTTTTACCCACATTTCCTCTCGATTCCAGTTTGGAGCACAGGCTAGAGAACAGTTGTGTCAGCTCTGCTGGACAGGATTTAGCTCAAGATTAGGTAGCTCCTTTCTACAAGGCATTCAGTTTCATATTGTTACTGCTTACTTATTTAGTACAGATTTGAGCTAACCATCTCTTAAAATTATTTTCCTTTCTTTCTTGTCTCCATTTTGCACGTTTCACCTCCAATGCACTACAACAGACTATAACTTTTTCTTAGACTGACCTTTTTGATGTCTTTTTTTCCCTTTTCTCCTGCCATTGCCTTCCCCCATTATTTATACTGGGAAAACACAAAGCACAAATTCCAAAACAGGTAAACGGACACGATTATTTCAAGTTGCCCAGACATTCTAATAAAGAGTCCTCTGACAAGACAGGGTTCTGTTTGGTAGGTTTGGTGCGAGGGTTTTTGTTTCGGTTTAAACTGTACTCCCGTTTTGAAACGCTCAAGCCAGTTGGGTAACACAGGACAAATCTGTAGATGGCTGCTTTGGTCTCACGCCATTTGCAATGCAGGAATGTCTTTTCAAGCATGAAAAACTGTTGCAACAACATTAAAGAAAAAAAAAAAAAACAACAACAAAACTTAATCCAAAAGTTGATTTTGTTTGCTTAAGGAGATTTTACAGTTTGTTGTACGAAGAAAGAATTTGTCAGTTCTTACTAGGGACTCATTTTATTTAAGGCCAAGGCAGCAGCAAGAAAAGGGCAACACCCAAATGATCCCAAAGAGATGCAGAGCTGGAAGTTTTATTCATTTTTGTTTGAGTCTGTGCTTTAATTCCACATAATGCAAAAATTAATCTATTGACTACATACTTTGGAGTTTTGATTATTTTAAATACAAAACTTAAAAAACAAAGCAAAACAAAAAACCACCTGCTTGTTCATCACTGTATGCATAAACACACAGAATCAAACTAAACCCAAAGCTTTTAGTAAGAAAACTCAGCTCTGTTCTTACTAATGATTTCAGAAGAGACAGGTTATCACTTTAATATGCCAGTCTTACAGTGTAATCATCTTGAAATTATTTCAAAATAAATCTAAAAAGTAATTTTAAATCAACATGACAGCATCTAACTTGCCTTCGTGGTCAGGACTTGTCAAACATTGGTCAGACATGTTCCAATCAAAATCCAAATTTCTCCAAATGCATTGGCCAGTCTCATATTATCCATTGATATCAACTGAAGAGCACCCTCCAAAACTGATTTCCAGTCTTCGGATGGAGCAGGCCAGAGAAAGTCTCACTAACTTGAACATCCTCTAAAAAGTATTTTATGTGAAAGGGTAAAGCTCAAAGACCAAACGAAATATAAACACAGTGAGAAAGTGCCTCAGAAAACACTGACTGAAAAGACGACAATGCACTAAAGTAATTATTTTCAGTATCTTTTTTAGGTAAACCATAATGTTTTTATTATCCTAAAATGTTTTTATCATACAGTGTGAAGCTCTTCAGAAGACTGAAGCATTTTCTTTAATTTGCTTTCAAGGTGGTAACTTTGTTCCTTTTTGATAAACCTGTCTTTATTTATTTTGAATTTACAGTGATTATTCTTACAAAAGGCTTGAATTTCATTCCTTTACTTTCCATGGAGTCTTTGGGAACAGGAAGCTACTCTAAAGGTAGAGGCCATGCAAGGTTGAAGTAAAAAAAAGAGTACACAGGCAAGTACTCAAAACGAACACTTCTCATAACAGGCTAGGTCAATGAAAATATTCCTGGCATCCCAAGTCCCACAGGATGATATATTCTTACAAAAATTTCTGTAATTTGTGAATTATTTTTTTAAAACTTAAGTAAAAAAGAAGACTTACTGAAGATATTTTTTTAACTGAAGCTCCCATCACTGTAAATGAATTAACAGAGGCTGTCCTATTATAGAGCTAAAACTTGGTCAGCAGTGCTCAGCCTGAACAGATGTACAAGGAAAAGGTAGCCTAGTAAATCAGTGAATAAGGAAACGCGTTTCTGGCAGATTATGCAAAACATTCATATTTTTGTTCACCTCATAAAATTCCTATCCAGCTAAAATCCAATCTCCATAAGGGTTTGTAATCTACAAAGCACAGAATTATTATTTCTGTTGTTACAGATGGAGAAAAAAAAAAGAGGCAGTAACACTAGTTTGCTGTCCAAGACAACTCTGATGCCGGGTGAAAAAATACCTGCGCAAGCCAGGTGTCCAAATGTAGAGCTCCACACTTAAGAAGAGAGGCCTTATGTTCAAAGAGTTAAGTGGTGGAACCTTGGATTTCACCTGGGTCACTTAAGTCTCATCTGGACCAATTTTACTCTGGCCTTGTAGCAGGGAAGGGGGAAAAAGGGGAGAAAAAGCTTTTCCATGAAAAGTTCATCAGAAATGTCTGCAAAGGTTTTGTTTTTTGAGCAATGAGTGTTCCGTAATAAAAATCTTCCTAGCTCTATGACTGTATTTTGGCCATTGCAGGATGCACTGAGGAGAGGCTGTGAGAAATACTAGTTTAGATTCGTTGTGAAGTCATGCACAAAGTGTTTGGTATTTCATATGTGCCATATGAATGTTTTTACCACTGTTTAATTCTATAGGGTAGGCTAACAACTGAGATACGAAGCACATTTCTTAAAGCACAAAATCTCATCCTGTATCTTTCAGAATAAAGCTTGCTGTCACAGATGCACTTTTTTTAAAAGCCTCAATTAGTTTACTGTTTGTTTCGCTCAGCGTTAGGTGCACAATGTAACATACACTACTTGGCTACTGACACTCAAATATGGGTCTTATCCAATATACACGAGTAAAAAAAAAAATTATTTAAAAAAGTTATTTCCTTTTCAGTTTTGTCAGAAAAGAGCATGGTAACTAAGTCAGAGAAGTTTAAGAGGGAACTACCAGAGACTACTTGTTTCTTTGACTCTGATATTTTCCTTGTATACTACAGCCATATTATACAAGCAGAAATCATCACTTCTTTATGAAAACCTACAATTTCTTTTCAATTCATTTGAGTGAGAAATCAAAATTTTTAAATCACAGTTTTTGAGATAGATTGCAAAGCCACCTTTTGTTTTATTGCTTTTCTTGGTTATGTCTCACTGAAAAACGTGACAACACATATCCCTATGAAACATTTTCCTTTCATTAATTCAGTATTTTTCTGAAAGCAAGCCATTTCACTGAAAATAAAACTACATATACTCAGCTTACTCGTTTGTCCAGCAACTGATGTAAATGAGTTTTGACTTCAACTGGGGTTTCTGGGTGCCGCTAAAATACATGCAGTTTTGTGAGAGGGGAATTAGGGGGGTTTGGTGGGCTTGTTTGTTTGCTTGCTTACTTTACCTGCTTGTTCTCCGGCAAGAAGTTAAAAAATGAGAAATATTTATTTTGTTAAGGCAAAAATACATTTGAGTCACAGCTCCTACTAGGGGGAGAAAAAAATACATGCCAAAGGCATGCACCCAGTTTCTATGCATCTCTGTTAAACTAGAACAATAAGAGCTCTACCTTTTGCCTCAGGGAGCCTGTAGATGATATCAGCTGCCGCACTTGCACGCCCCACCAAACTAAGCTGAGTTTGCAAGATGCAAGAGGATAAGAGCATGAATGAATTCTTTGCAAAAGGCAGCCAGATATCCAGTGCGCAATGGTAAACAGAATGAGGAGGGAGCTGCTGAAAGGGAGGAAAGTAATTGAAAAAAATACATCCCCAGTGTCAAGTAATAGCAATGGATAATATCACATTGTTTAAACAAAATGTAAAAACCCCATACTAAACTGCTTTAAATGTTCTTTCAGCATTAGACATCTGTGCTTATTTTTGGGAGTTAACTAAACTACTAAGAATTATTGTGTACTTGAAAACTCATTTAGCACCTGTTTAATAGTGACTGGTGCTTTACAAACAGCTTATGGGAAAGGAGACTCACCTTGTATAAAGCAG